ATGATACATTGCTGGTTCAATATTTGGTTAATTTTTTTTTTAATGTTCAATTCAAATTTGTTTGTGTGGCACAATTGGTTTAGTTCATAAATTCTAACCTGACCCAATTCGTCCTTGCAATTGTTTTTTTTTTGCTTTTTTATTATTAATTTATTGACAGAATCAGAGATTAAAAAAATTTAATGAACAATTAAAGAAATAAGTGCAAAAGAAAGTAAGTGACAAATAGGCAAAACCCAATTTAAAACCTTATACTAATTCTTGTAAGGATACATACAATGCTAGCTCTATTTTAGAGGTCAATTAAATACCTTCATTTTTTTTTTCTTTTAAGAGGGCAAAATGCCAAATATGACTGACCATTCAATTTTTAACAGCTCAAGACACCATAAATGCAAAGTTTTGAGTTTATCCAATGATTTAAATGGTTATTCCCAGAATAAATTATATGGTAAGTGTCCTTTGAATAGATAAATATATGGTAAGTATATATGGGAAAAATAAGGTAAAACAGCAGACAGTGAAGAACCTGCCATTGCTGATCAAATTAAGCAGTTACACAATCAATGTTGACTCGGGAATTTTAGCTAATATAAGACAGCGAAATCCATTTGGATTTTTTTTTTTTGCATGTATAGCACTATTAATATTTCTCTATTTGCTCAACAACCCGAACTTCTTGGTTAATAGCAATACCATCCTTCGAATAATGGATATTGTTATTGAAATCCAAGATTTTGAAGTGTTTTTTCTTTTCTAGGACCCTCTCCCCTTAATTCCCCCTTCTTAAATCCTTGTACCATGTTTGAAATTTTGGTTATTAGATATTATATATAAAGAACAAATATTGTCTCTGACTTTGTTAAGATTTTAGAATGTTCTTAATTTGGAAAAATCAAACTTTTTCAATAATGTATTTTATATGTAGTTTGAGTTATATTTTTTTATTTTAAGTGACGTAATGCTTAAACTTTACATATTCGTCGAAGGAAAACATAACGGCCGACATATATTCTCTTCACTTACTCTTAAGTTACTTCCAAAACAGTAAGTTTTGTTTTATTGTTTTTGCTTTATAACTAATATATATATATATATATATATTACACTTATTTGGGTTAATCTGTACAATGATGGAGAACATTTAAAAATTGAAAAAGAAAAACAGTTGTAAATAAGTTATTTAATAAATTAACCTTTGAAATTTGTATATACAAACTGACAAGTATAAAACTTTTATCTTCACTTTTATATATCTTTGAAAAGAAAAATGAAACAAATGAAGATTAAAACCAATCAATTACTTAAAAGTTAGCTCATGGTCAAATTTAATTAATACTAATTACATGATTTCATTTTTTTCTCAATATTAGAGTCAAAACCCTAAAGGCAAAAACACGTGTCGACAAAGCAAGTCAACTAAAAAATCCTATATATATTTTCATGCAACGTACATTTCTTCGTTCGCATTTTACATGCACGTTCATTTTGAAAATAATATTTTATATTCCCGCCATATTAACCTTGTACAAACTTCTAAAACATCTTGATTATTTATCAAACAAAAAAAAAAGACTTGCTCAGTCAATTGCTAAATACATAAGTCAAATAATTCTATAAATTAGAATTTAAATACTCCAGGGACTAATCTGAAATATTACAAAATATAGCATCCCCATAGTGCCTATATATAGTGAAATTAACGAGGTGGAAAAAACAACCACATGAAAAAAAAACCATCGCATTAAGCTTTCAATCTCTTGCAGTCATGGCTAGGGCTAGGGGGAGACCGAGACGCGCACCAAGCTCAAGCAGCTCCAACTATGAGAGGCAGTGGTCTCCGCTGACGCTGGCCACCTTGCGTAACATAAGAGAACGTCCTCATCAAAACTGCCATAGGAGGAAACCAGGGAGCACCGTCACTTACCGTGATCAATCCGATTATGGCTATGGCTGGCTGCTGCCTGGTTGGGTCGCTGAAGAGCGCCGCATGCGTACCGGCAGACTCTATAGGGTAAAAACTCATTATCATACGTACAATATGTACATACATCTCTCTCTTCATTTTGAACTATGGTTTCCATTGCCAATATCGTTTTCGTTATTGATATATCTGATTAATCCTTAATATTGTGTGTTTTCAAGTCCTTTTTGTCTCTGATATATCTGATACACTGTTTTGTGCAGCAGTATATTTAGATATAATCATATCAATTAATTAAAAATCAATAGAATATATAAATATTTGGTTTGGTGATAGTAGCATAATTCGTTTGATGGCTGCAGTATTACTATGATCCATCGGGGCGTCAGTACAGCACCAAACGCGAAATCCAACATATATGGGCTGTTTGTGGCCTGATGCTCGTTTAGTGATCAAATGATGGGAAAAGGAGAAACCATTGATTCACAAAAGATCATTCATCTCTCCTTTTTTTTTTTTTGCTTATTTTTTGATCTTTATGCCTAGTTAATTTGTGGGTTAAAGTTTTATAGGGTTCATTCGGAAGCAGCTGATGATGATTGGAGGAGTTGTTGATAGACATCTAGAGCTAGATGACTCTCTTGTACCATTGTTGTTTACTTTGGCTGTGTAAAACCCATATTGTGCCTTGGAAGAATAGGTGTAAATAAAATGAATGAACCTATTTTTAGCTTCAATCCCAAGTGTTATTGAGCATCTTTACTTATGACTCAATTATTAACTAAGGGTGATCTAAATATTGGTCTCACATTGATTGAGGTTTATACGTCTTTCCTGGCAAGGTGTCTTTGCATTCAAAGTGAACTCTACATCCAAGATTATGTGTAGATAATCGGCAATACCTCAGTAACTATGTGTTGGGTCTTAGAATTTATGGGAACAGGCTTCATCATATAGCTTATTGGGTGAAATCTGAGAACAAAAACAAAGTGCTGAAAATCAAATAATAAAAATATCAACCAAATAGAGTCTTAAAATTTTAAACAAAGAGAATTACGGAGGAAAGAAATTAATATGTATATTAACCAAATTGTTGGAAATGCAAAAGTTAAGCTGTTCAATCCCATTACCATATGGGGGGCATCTTCGTATCTCTTGAATGGAATGCAAATTGGTGTAGAAGGACATAACAATAGAGAAAGAAATTCGTGGACCTGTTCTTTCTAATATATATTATATATAAATAGTTTTTTAATTAAAATGGTACGAAAGTTAATTTTATATTTATAAGGTCACTAGTTCGATCCCATGAAATTCTTAAGTACTCAAGAGAGAGAGAGTCTATGTGGAGAGATTGCAATGCTCCACCAAGATAGGTGGCCTCAATGTGATCGTCCTCTCGAGAGCATAGTAGGAAATTGGAAACACACCTCTATGCCAAAATGGTATAAAGGCAATTGAGGATTTTATCCAATCAAATTAACATTTTTTATTAAAATAATATATATATATATAATTTTTTAATTAAAATGGTATTAGAGTCCATGTTATATCCATAAGGTCACTGATTTGATCTATGAAATTCTTGGATCCTCAAGGGAAGCAGTTTATGTGGAGACTGCAATGCCCCACCAAGGTGGATGGCCCCAGTGTGGGGGGTTTCATTGGTGATGCATTATCCTTTTAAGAGCATTGTAAGAAATTGGAAACACACCTTATGATAGTATAAAAATAATTCTAAATCTTATCCAGTCAAGTTAATTTTTTTGATTAAAATAATATCTATATATATATATATATATATGTGTGTATGTATGTGTGTGTGTGTGTGTGTGTGTGTGTGTGTGTGTTCAATTATCTCAAACATAGGAGGAGGAGATTGCCACATGATATGCTCAAACTGAAATTATTATAACAGCTTTTTCTGCTAACTGGTATCAAAGCTTGATGATAATATCAATTATATTAAAGATTTAACACAAACAAAACACTGATTAATCGAGCTGGTTAGGGTATAATTAATCACAGTACAGCCAGGCAAATTAACTTAAGAGAAATGGTGTATAGTGAGGCATGTATAGTAGGCATATTCTGTTTTTAAGCCTTGAAAAGGTTCTTTGGCTGGACATCACAGAAACAGTGACTAGGGATTCTGCTTTTCTAAATGAAATGAGACAAGTACACAAACAGAGGAATCAGCAGGAACACTAACAAAAGAAACTAATACTCTATTCCTTCTGTGTACAATTCGTAATCCAAGGCATATATTCTTTGACTACTGCAAAGGATGCAGACACATTTTCCACATATAATTCTGTGTATCATGTCTAAGAGCCCTGAATGAAGAGTGCCTCTGCCTATCAAGTTTCATTCTCCATGTACAAATCAATGAAGAGTGCCTCCCTTATTAAACAGCAGCATCGTAGCCAGAAAGTCTCAATAGCTTAACCAGAGAAAATCCGATGCAGTTAGCATTGCATGAACCCGACTTCACTCATAGATAATATAAGTGAATGAACCACGGACAACAAGTCGATCTCAGACTAACCCACCGAGTGCTTATACTACTGCAACATGACAGAGCAAAAATAAAGAGAATTAGATCCATATTAAGTAAATGCTCTTGGACAGCTGCAATCAAGTGGTTCCGCGGATTTGGTGACCATCCTCCTTTGTATGGCTTCTTACTTGCCCTTGTTCTTTCAACTGCTTGTAACTTGCAGGTTTAGTGCTAAGGGATGTAGATCGAGTCTTTATGGCTATTGTCTTCTTTTTATGGATAGGTCACTTGGATTTGTAACCATGGAAATATGGATAGGCTGAAATGATGGCTTTTTCAATAGTTGTGATGCCTCATCTTTTTGCTTTGAGGCCGAATGGTGGTTGATGTAGACGATGACGAATTCTTTGTTCATGCGTCACGCCCAGTTTTGCTAATAAGGGCAGATAGCTACGATCCATGTTTGTCCATAGGATTTGGAGATGCCATCAATAGCTATATTTTGTGATTGTATAGTTTTTTATGCCCGGATCAAGCACCAAGTCATGGAAAGTTTTTGGACAAATAAGCAAGATACTTAGAGTAGCATACGGCTCGCTGAGATTAATAAAATTATTTTTCAAAACAAATAAATACTCTTGATAAGAAACGAAGAGGGTAAAAGTAAAAAGAATCACTAAAATTCCAAAATTAAGATGATTTTCCAATTGATTAATGCAAGAGTATTTTAACCCGAAAATAAAAAATTACAATAATTTCATAATTCAAGGTCAAGAATACCATAAATGTAACGTTTTAAGCTTACCCAATGATTAAAAATTATATGGTAAGTATCCTTTGAATAAATAAATATATGGCAAGTATATATGGGAAAAATAAAGGTGAAACAGCCGACAGTGGAGCCTGCCATTGCTTATCAAATTGAGCAGTTACACAATCAATATTGACTAGGGAATCTTAACTAATATATATAAGACAGAGACAATACGTTTGGGTTTTTTTTTTTTTTTTTTGCATGTATAGCAGTATTAATGTTTCTCTATTTGCTCAACAACCCCAACTTCTTTGGGTGATTGCAATACCATCCTTCGAATAATGGATATTGTTATTGAAATCCAAGATTTTGAAGTGTTTTTTTCCTAGGACCCTCTACCCTTAATTCTCCCTTCTTGAATTCTTATTCCATGCCTTAACTTTTGGTTATTAGATATTATATATAAAGAACAATATTTTATCCGACTTTATTAAGATTTTAGAATGTTCTTAATTAGAAAATATCAAACTTTTCAATAACGCGTTTTATATGTAGCTTTAATTATCACTTTTTTATGTTGAGTGACGTAATGCTTAAACTTTATATATCAATCAAAAGATAACATAACGGCTGACATATATACTCTTCACTTAATCCTTAGTTACTTCCAAAATGGTAAGTTATGTTTTATTGTTTCTATTTTATAATTAATATATATTATGCTTATTTGGATTAATTTGTACAATGTCGGAAGAAAATTTAAAAATTAAAAAAAAATAATTGTAAGTAAATTATTCAATTATTTAACTTTTGAAATTTATACAAATCGACAAGTATAAAACTTTTATCTTCACTTTTATATATCTTTTAAAAAGAAAAATAAAAAATTAAACATTAAAACCAATCAATTACTTCAAAGTTGGCTCATGGTCATGGTTTAATTAATACTAATTATATGGTTTCAATTTTTTCCCGATGTTAGAATCAAAACCCTGAAGTCAAAAACACATGTTGAAAAAACAAGTCAACTAACAAATAATATATATTTTCATATAATTTACGTAACTTCATTCGCATTTCACATGCATCTACATCTTTAAAATAATAATCTATATGCCTGTCAGATTAACCCTAAACAAAGTTCTAAAACATCTTGATTATTTATCTAACAAAACAAAAAGACTTGCTCTATCAATTGCTAAATATATAGGTCAAATAACTCAATAACTTAGAATTACATCCAAGGGCAAAATTGAAAAGAATTTAAATACTCTATGGGACTAATCTGAAATAAGAGGAAAAACAAGAGAAAAAGTTGAAAATACTACAAAAATACAGCATCCTAGCTCCTATATACAATGCAATGAACTTGGTGGAAAGAAACCACCAAAGGAAAAAAAAAAAAAAACCTCTAGCATTAAGCTTCCAAACTCCTGCAGTCATGGTGAAAGGCAGACGCGCGTCAAGCTCAAGCAGCGCCAACTATGCCAGGCAGTGGTCGCCGCTGACGCTAGCCACCTTGCGCAATATAAGAGAACGTCCTCATCAGAAGTGCAATAGGAGGAAACCAGGGAGCACAGTCATTTTCCGCGATCAATCGGATCACGGCTATGGCTGGTTGCTGCCTGGTTGGGTTGCAGAAGAGCGCCGCATGCGAACCGGCAGGCGCTATACGGTAAAAACCCATAATCACACGTATAATAAGTACATACATCTCTCTCTTCATTTTGAACTACGGTTTCCATTGCTTATATCCTTTTGGTTATTGATATATCTGATTAACCTTTAATATTGTGTGTTTTCAAGTCCTTTCTTTGTCTCTGATATATCTGATATATTGTTTTCTGCAGCAATATATTTAGATATAATCATGTCAATTAATTAAATCAATAGAATATATGAATAATTGGTTCAGTGATAAGTATATGATTCATTTAATGGTTGCAGTATTACTATGATCCATGGGGACGTCAGCACACCACCAAACGCGAAGTCCTGTATGTATGGACAAAGTGCGGCCTCATTGAGAGATCAAATGATAGGAAAAGGTGAAATCATTGATTCACAAAAGAAGATTCATCTCTCTCTTTTTTTTTTCTTGCTTATTTTTTGATCTTTACGCCTAATTAATTTATGGGTTAATGTTTTGCAGGGTTCATTCGGAAGCAGCTGATGATGAGAGGAGTTGCTGATAC